GTTTTTGTTTACAAGCTCATTTGCTAGCCTGAATACTCATTTTTTAGTTTTTATTTGCAGGCTCATTTGCTAGCCTGCATAGACTCAGTTTTTAGTTTTTGTTTATAGGCTCATTTGCTAGCCTGCATACTCATTTCTTAGTTTTTGTTTACAGGCTCATTTGCTAGCCTACAAAGACTCATTTTTTAAATTTTGTTTATAGGCTCATTTGCTAGCCTGCATAGACTTTTTTAGTTTTTGTTTATAGGCTCATTTGCTAGCCTGCATAGACTCATTTTTTAGTTTTTGTTTATAGGTTCATTTGCTAGCCTGCATACTCATTTTTTAGTTTTTGTTTACAGGCTCATTTGCTAGCCTACATACTCATTTTTTAGTTTTTGTTTATAGGCTCATTTGCTAGCCTGAAGACTCATTCTTTAGTTTTTGTTTACAAGCTCATTTGCTAGCCTGAATACTCATTTTTTAGTTTTTATTTGCAGGCTCATTTGCTAGCCTGCATAGACTCAGTTTTTAGTTTTTGTTTATAGGCTCATTTGCTAGCCTGCATACTCATTTCTTAGTTTTTGTTTACAGGCTCATTTGCTAGCCTACAAAGACTCATTTTTTAAATTTTGTTTATAGGCTCATTTGCTAGCCTGCATAGACTTTTTTAGTTTTTGTTTATAGGCTCATTTGCTAGCCTGCATAGACTCATTTTTTAGTTTTTGTTTATAGGCTCATTTGCTAGCCTGCATACTCATTTTTTAGTTTTTGATTACAGGCTCATTTGCTAGCCTACATACTCATTTTTTAGTTTTTGTTTATAGGCTCATTTGCTAGCCTATATAGACTCATTTTTAGTTTTTGTTTATAGGCTCATTTGCTAGCCTGCATAGACTCATTTTTTAGTTTTTGTTCATAGGCTCATTTGCTAGCCTGAATACTTATTTTTTAGTTTTTGTTTACAGGCTCATTTGCTAGCGTACATACTTTCTTTTGTTTATAGGCTCTGTGGAAATTATTTATTATTAGTATTATTATTAGCAAATCACTTGCAGGAGGTTTACAGGACAGTACTTGAATTATTACCTGCAAGTAATCTGGGTGAGGTAAATGGGACTTAAGTCACAGTAGGTCACTGAATTGCAACTCCATCGAATGCCCACTTCCTTTCCACTTTCATTAAAAGCTAGACCTGACACTAAATTAATGATTATAAAATTATAACCAGCTACTCTGGTACATTGAAGTTTAGTGGACTGTATGAATTAAACTTGCTGGGAACAACAAATATAATTGGTATTAACACCATTTTATTACAGTAAGACAATGCTGATGGAACACACCCTAACAGCTAGGATTTACGATAGCCAATGCAAAAACTACTGTAATTATGGGTAAGCGTCACTTAGCTAAGGTGTGTTGTTGGGAAGGATTCATTTAAGTCCTCTATTTTCGTTCTCCACACGCAATTCTTGCGGTCCCGCAAATTTCCTGTCCCAATTCTTCAGCAGGAACGAATCAGCAATTTCTAAATTACGAATTGAGGCCGATACACCTCACCGTGCCTCCGAGAATGTCCGATTATTAACAGAATTTCCCACTACTACCATTATTATTATTATAATAAAAAAAGAAGCGCTAAGCCACAAGGACTATACAGCTCCCACTACTACCAGTGTTCACAAATTAAAAAAATGGTCTCCCCGGCGTCCCTACTGGCTGTTCTCCACCCCCTCATTTAAATTTCTCGAAGGGTCCAAATAGCACCACATTTTCATACGCAATTATTATATTTATTTATATGTTCTGCCTTTAGGAAATTATGTAAAAAAATTCCACAACCATGAAAAATGCCTCATACGGGTTAGTGTTTTTTTTTTGTGTATATATTATTTATAATAATTCACTAATATATACATAGCTCAAACGTTGTATGAGCCCTCGGGTTTAGCGCTTCTCCAGGAATAACCTTATGCTATCTCCAATTATAATAATCTTTAAGCGCATAAACCGTAGAGGTCACAGCGCATGAAGAATGGAAGGCAATCGGGTTTGATCCAAGGAAGGGGAGGAGGTATTCCCTCCAAAAAGACGCTGCTAGTGATGATCAACATCCCATTTTTTTTACTTTCTACTGGTCTAGGCCGACCACAAGAAACAGTCTCCAGTTATCGCACGGAAACCAATATAATTTGCTTACTAAAACATGAAAAACTGAGACTTACACAGCCCACTGACAACGCCAACAAAATGCTCCAGCGCAGAAAAGTTGTATCTTATCAGAAAAGGAATCCTCCAGTTATCACACACACAAAAAAATCAATCTTTTTAACTTAGAAAATATGCAAATCTGCACCAACACTTTAAAACTATAGTAAATCTACCTTTAGGTTAGATGCATTTTCAAATTATCTCACATACCACATACACGTGTCACGTTTTGTTTAATAATACTTCAACTAACTTCAACTAACACTGAAAGTTTGAAACTGATCGGGAGAGGCGTTCTCAAGTTATCGCAAGAAAATCTTGGAAATGCACATGTTAGATAATCAGAGGAATTTATATAGTGAATAGGAAGACAATTGCGGAAAAAGGTCGAATGGACATGAACGGAAATCGAAGTATCTCCGAACCTGGAGATACAACCCGGAGATACTTCTTCAATGTAATAGTAACAAACATGTTAAAGGAGCTTCATAAGGTGGTGGAAGCAAACGTCTTGTGCAGTGTCATAAGTAAACAACTGGGCCCAGGAGGTTAGAAGCCAATGTTTGTTGTATGTGCTTCGAGGGACCAGGAGCTGAGATTCGACCCCAGCAAGCACAACTCGGTGAGTACCCACACACATCACATGATGAGTCTTCCGCCTGTGCTTGTCCTGGTGCCAGCTGTGATTTAGCATTTCTTGTGCTTCTTTGTTTCGTGTTATCCACAATTTTAGCCCTTCAGTAGTCATTTTCAATTTCTTGTCGTCAACTGGGACCCGTGCATCAATTTTAGGTATCACTGTAGTATATGCTGAATGTTCTAGGGATTCATGTTCATATGCAAAATATAAAAATTTTACATTTTTCGAAGACGATGTAGAGAATTTTGCAGCTGGTGATGCTCACACTACCCGACCAAGACATGACAACCTTTGCTTGTGCAGGTCCCATATCTTTCTGCAAAAGTTTGTTTTGAGTCCCAGTGATCTAGTTAGGCCTAATGACAAGCCTTAAGACATAAGATGTGCCTCCATAAAGTCTGGTTGGAGGATTTTCTTTGTTAATCAAGAGAGTTGTGGCTGTGTTCCCTGATTGTGTTGGAGCCGTCTGTATTGATCCTCACAGTTACGCCACTTCCCCCATTATTTGCCACACATCGGGGTTCCCTCCTCCTTGCTCCATTTCTCTGTTCCCGTTTTATTTTTACTAAGTTAAACATACTCAACATACAGTTAGCAGATAGTACAAGCGTAACTCGTGTGTTGTTCGAAATTATCACTTACAGGAAGTTAAAGCTCTGGAATATTTGTTTGGATTAGTGTAGCAGTGGGGCCAACAACAACCTGAGGAATGTTGATGAGTCTTCATCTTTGTTTAGTAATGTGAAGCGCGATCATATATGTGTAGAGATGAGGTGCCACGCTCTCTATACAGAGATGATAATAAAATAGGTTAAGGATATACGGTGTGTTGGCTGCATGTTTTTTTTTGTGTTATTAGCATTGTCAATTAGGCGTGTGTGTGTTGTGCATGAGTATAGACACAGACACTCGAGTGTTGGGTGTGCGTGTGTACAGGAATTTCAGCGATACAGCCACACGCGACGATACAACGGCACACACTGAAGAATTATTGACAAATTTTACTATAAGCGAATACACTCTAGCGCTTGTATTATCAAGAGCACAATGCAGATTAATGTGTATCGTGTAGGCCTTCTGCTGTATTATGTAGGTGTAATGCTTTCATGTAGGTCTAATGCTGTGCATTATGCAGGCCTACTACTTTGCATCAAGCGGGTCTACTGCTAGGTATACCAGATAGCCTACTACTTGGTATATCACGCAGGGCTACTACTGTGATTATTATATGTCTAAATCTGTGTTTCATGTACAGTTGTCTCGTTACCCTACCACGTAAGCATACTACTGTATGTCATATAGGACTACAACTATCATTTAAGTCTAGTATTGTTCCAGGTAGGCCTACTGCGTGTATCAGCACTGTTGTGAATAAATGAAGATGCGTGTTTACGTTGAGTTAGGCCCCTGACTGGGAGGTAGGATGTAGCCAAACCTCCTCAGGGAAGTACTGAAGTACTCTATATTATCATAGTCACGTGAAAGCGCTAAACCCGTCCGGATCATACAGTGCCTGGGGAATGGATGGGTAGCTTCAATGCCTTTGATGAAGAGCCTTTCACCACCATCAACGGCATCCTCACCCCCCATGAAGGAAGGTAGGCTACATATACAGGACAGGTACATGCGAAGGCTTTTCTAGTATGCGTTTTTTACTGTCTGCATAAATAATGCATGCAGTGTAGCTAGCCCATGTATGTACGTGCTGCTGTACTAGTCCCTTTTTCGTGCAATATACTATTATTGACAGTGCTTACATTTATTTTTTTCTACAGAGTTTAGCTTATTTATAAGTGCTTATAGCAATCTGTCTATAATATGTAATGACCCTTGTGGGTTTAGCGCTTAGTTTTTATTATAATAATATATAATTCCCCAGGATGCCACCCAGAGCTGTCAACTGACGCCCAACATTTTACTGCTTTGTTAGCATGAACAGAAAATCTATAAAGATTTTAATACCCCTGGTCACAGATTGTAACAAATCCATGTAACAACGTATTTCTTTTTAATTACCATGTTTCATTGTGGTTTGAGTATTAACACGTATTGGAAAGGTGTGTATACTTGTGTGAAACCTGAGGGGAAAATGTTCAGGCTTGAGATGAATTTGACTGGTTGTTTACAACCTTCATAAACAAGAATAAAACTCATTAGTTATTCTTACCTGGTGTGTATATTGCATCCCTGAGGGAGGGGCAGTACAAGCACTCACTGGCACCTAATTGGCACACGCTACCTGCCGCTTGTCTCACTTCTCACCAATATATTGTTTGCCAACACCACAGGATATTGTAGGTCCCGGAAGGTCATTGCATCAGTGATATCTACTCTTGATCCCACCACAAGATTTATAAAGTATGGAGTGAAAACTGATTTACAGTTGGAAAGTTTGCATCTCGTTTCCACCAAATAGAAATTGTTTTATAATAAGTATTTAGGTTTTAGTACAGAGTGAGAACGAATGTTCACACTAACAGAAGTAAGTTTGAGCAACACTGAAACAGGTGTGGGTGTGAGCAACACGTGGGCGGGAGCCGTAGGTGGGGGTGAGCCAGGACTGCTCATCCACATGTTGGCTGGCCCGCCCCAGCCGCCACACTGCCGCTCTCTCTTTATCTTGCTACTGCCAGCTGCACCCCCCCCCCCCCTGAATCCAGCTGCTGCCAGCTACACCCACGCTGTACCCTGCTGCTGCCAGCTACACCCACGCTGTACCCTGCTGCTACCAGCTACACCCACGCTGTACCCTGCTGCTGCCAGCTACACCCACGCTGTAGCCTGTTGCTGCCAGTTACACCCACGCTGTACCCTGCTGCTGCCAGCTACACCCACGCTGTAGCCTGCTGCCAGCTACACCCATGCTGTACCCTGCTGCTGCCAGCTACACCCACGCCGTAGCCTGCTGCTGCCAGCTACACCCACTCTGTACCCTGCTGCTGCCAGCTACACCCACGCTGTAGCCTGCTGCTGCCAGTTACACCCACGCTGTACCCTGCTGCTGCCAGCTACACCCACGCTGTACCCTGCTGCTGCCAGCTACACCCACGCTGTACCCTGCTGCTGCCAGCTACACCCACGCTATACCCTGCTGCTGCCAGCTACGCCCACGCTGTACCCTGGTGCTGCCAGCTACACCCACGCTGTACCCTGCTGCTGCCAGCTACACCCACGCTGTACCCTGCTGCTGCCAGCTACACCTACGCTGTACCCTGCTGCTGCCAGCTACACCCACGCTGTACTCTGCTGCTGCCATCTACACCCACGCTGTACCCTGCTGCTGCCAGCTACACCCACGCTGTATCCTGTGCGCTGCCAGCTACACCCACGCTGTAGCCTGCTGCTGCCAGCTACACCCATGCTGTAGCCTGCTGCTGCCAGCTACACCCACGCTGTACCCTGCTGCTGCCAGCTACACCCACGCTGTACCCTGCTGCTGCCAGCTACACCCACACCGTAGCCTCCTGCTGCCAGCTACACCCACGCTGTACCCTGCTGCTGCCAGCTGCACCCTCTCTGTACCCTGCTGCTGCCAGCTACACCCACGCTGTACCCTGCTGCTGCCAGCTACACCCACGCTGTATCCTGCTGCTGCCAGCTACACCCACGCTGTAGCCTGCTGCTGCCAGCTACACCCATGCTGTAGCCTGCTGCTGCCAGCTACACCCACGCTGTACCCTGCTGCTGCCAGCTACACCCACTCTGTACCCTGCTGCTGCCAGCTACACCCACGCCGTAGCCTCCTGCTGCCAGCTACACCCACGCTGTACCCTGCTGCTGCCAGCTGCACCCTCTCTGTACCCTGCTGCTGCCAGCTACACCCACGCTGTAGCCTACTGCTGCCAGTTACACCCACGCTGTACCCTGCTGCTGCCAGCTACACATACGCTGTACCCTGCTGCTGTCAGCTACACCCACGCTGTAGCCTGTTGCTGCCATTTACACCCACGCTGTACCCTGCGGCTGCCAGCTACACCCACGCTGTAGCCTGCTGCCAGCTACACCCATGCTGTACCCTGCTGCTGCCAGCTACATCCACACTGTACCCTGCTGCTGCCAGCTACACCCACGCCGTAGCCTGCTGCTGCCAGCTACACCCACTCTGTACCCTGCTGCTGCCAGCTACACCTACGCTGTACCCTGCTGCTGCCAGCTACACCCACGCTATACCCTGCTGCTGTCAGCTACACCCACACTGTATCCTGCTACTTGCCAGCTACACCCACGCTGTAGCCTGCTGCTGCCAGCTACACCCATGCTGTAGCCTGCTGCTGCCAGCTACACCCATGCTGTACCCTGCTGCTGCCAGCTACACCCACGCTGTACCCTGCTGCTGCCAGCTACACCCACGCCGTAGCCTCCTGCTGCCAGCTACACCCATGCTGTAGCCTGCTGCTGCCAGCTACACCCACGCTGTACCCTGCTGCTGCCAGCTACACCCACGCTGTACCCTGCTGCTGCCAGCTACACCCACGCTGTACCCTGCTGCTACCAGCTACACCCACGCTGTACCCTGCTGCTGCCAGCTACACCCACGCTGTAGCCTGTTGCTGCCAGTTACACCCACGCTGTACCCTGCTGCTACCAGCTACACCCACGCTGTACCCTGCTGCTGCCAGCTACACCCACGCTGTAGCCTGTTGCTGCCAGTTACACCCACGCTGTACCCTGCTGCTGCCAGCTACACCCACGCTGTAGCCTGCTGCCAGCTACACCCATGCTGTACCCTGCTGCTGCCAGCTACACCCACGCTGTACCCTGCTGCTGCCAGTTACACCCACGCTGTACCCTGCTGCTGCCAGCTACACCCACGCTGTACCCTGCTTCTGCCAGCTACAACCCACGCTGTACCCTGCTGCTGCCAGCTACACCCACGCTATACCCTGCTGCTGCCAGCTACGCCCACGCTGTACCCTGGTGCTGCCAGCTACACCCACGCTGTACCCTGCTGCTGCCAGCTACACCCAGGCTGTACCCTGCTGCTGCCAGCTACACCTACGCTGTACCCTGCTGCTGCCAGCTACACCCACGCTGTACTCTGCTGCTGCCATCTACACCCACGCTGTACCCTGCTGCTGCCAGCTACACCCACGCTGTATCCTGCTGCTGCCAGCTACACCCACGCTGTAGCCTGCTGCTGCCAGCTACACCCATGCTGTAGCCTGCTGCTGCCAGCTACACAGACGCTGTACCCTGCTGCTGCCAGCTACACCCACGCTGTACCCTGCTGCTGCCAGCTACACCCACACCGAAGCCTCCTGCTGCCAGCTACACCCACGCTGTACCCTGCTGCTGCCAGCTGCACCCTCTCTGTACCCTGCTGCTGCCAGCTACACCCACGCTGTACCCTGCTGCTGCCAGCTACACCCACGCTGTATCCTGCTGCTGCTAGCTACAGCCACGCTGTAGCCTGCTCCTGCCAGCTACACCCATGCTGTAGCCTGCTGCTGCCAGCTACACCCACGCTGTACCCTGCTGCTGCCAGCTACACCCACGCTGTACCCTGCTGCTGCCAGCTACACCCACGCCGTAGCCTCCTGCTGCCAGCTACACCCACGCTGTACCCTGCTGCTGCCAGCTGCACCCTCTCTGTACCCTGCTGCTGCCAGCTACACCCACGCTGTAGCCTGCTGCTGCCAGTTACACCCACGCTGTAGCCTGCTGCTGCCAGCTACACCCATGCTGTAGCCTGCTGCTGCCAGCTACACCCACGCTGTACCCTGCTGCTGCCAGCTACACCCACGCTGTACCCTGCTGCTGCCAGCTACACCCACGCCGTAGCCTCCTGCTGCCAGCTACACCCACGCTGTACCCTGCTGCTGCCAGCTGCACCCTCTCTGTACCCTGCTGCTGCCAGCTACACCCACGCTGTAGCCTACTGCTGCCAGTTACACCCACGCTGTACCCTGCTGCTGCCAGCTACACATACGCTGTACCCTGCTGCTGTCAGCTACACCCACGCTGTAGCCTGTTGCTGCCATTTACACCCACGCTGTACCCTGCGGCTGCCAGCTACACCCACGCTGTAGCCTGCTGCCAGCTACACCCATGCTGTACCCTGCTGCTGCCAGCTACATCCACGCTGTACCCTGCTGCTGCCAGCTACACCCACGCCGTAGCCTGCTGCTGCCAGCTACACCCACTCTGTACCCTGCTGCTGCCAGCTACACCTACGCTGTACCCTGCTGCTGCCAGCTACACCCACGCTATACCCTGCTGCTGTCAGCTACACCCACACTGTATCCTGCTACTGCCAGCTACACCCACGCTGTAGCCTGCTGCTGCCAGCTACACCCATGCTGTAGCCTGCTGCTGCCAGCTACACCCATGCTGTACCCTGCTGCTGCCAGCTACACCCACGCTGTACCCTGCTGCTGCCAGCTACACCCACGCCGTAGCCTCCTGCTGCCAGCTACACCCATGCTGTAGCCTGCTGCTGCCAGCTACACCCACGCTGTACCCTGCTGCTGCCAGCTACACCCACGCTGTACCCTGCTGCTGCCAGCTACACCCACGCTGTACCCTGCTGCTACCAGCTACACCCACGCTGTACCCTGCTGCTGCCAGCTACACCCACGCTGTAGCCTGTTGCTGCCAGTTACACCCACGCTGTACCCTGCTGCTACCAGCTACAACCCACGCTGTACCCTGCTGCTGCCAGCTACAACCCACGCTGTAGCCTGTTGCTGCCAGTTACACCCACGCTGTACCCTGCTGCTGCCAGCTACACCCACGCTGTAGCCTGCTGCCAGCTACACCCATGCTGTACCCTGCTGCTGCCAGCTACACCCACGCTGTACCCTGCTGCTGCCAGTTACACCCACGCTGTACCCTGCTGCTGCCAGCTACACCCACGCTGTACCCTGCTGCTGCCAGCTACACCCACGCTGTACCCTGCTGCTGCCAGCTACACCCACGCTATACCCTGCTGCTGCCAGCTACGCCCACGCTGTACCCTGGTGCTGCCAGCTACACCCACGCTGTACCCTGCTGCTGCCAGCTACACCCAGGCTGTACCCTGCTGCTGCCAGCTACACCTACGCTGTACCCTGCTGCTGCCAGCTACACCCACGCTGTACTCTGCTGCTGCCATCTACACCCACGCTGTACCCTGCTGCTGCCAGCTACACCCACGCTGTATCCTGCTGCTGCCAGCTACACCCACGCTGTAGCCTGCTGCTGCCAGCTACACCCATGCTGTAGCCTGCTGCTGCCAGCTACACCCACGCTGTACCCTGCTGCTGCCAGCTACACCCACGCTGTACCCTGCTGCTGCCAGCTACACCCACACCGAAGCCTCCTGCTGCCAGCTACACCCACGCTGTACCCTGCTGCTGCCAGCTGCACCCTCTCTGTACCCTGCTGCTGCCAGCTACACCCACGCTGTACCCTGCTGGCTGCCAGCTACAACCCACGCTGTATCCTGCTGCTGCTAGCTACAGCCACGCTGTAGCCTGCTCCTGCCAGCTACACCCATGCTGTAGCCTGCTGCTGCCGGCTACACCCACGCTGTACCCTGCTGCTGCCAGCTACACCCACGCTGTACCCTGCTGCTGCCAGCTACACCCACGCCGTAGCCTCCTGCTGCCAGC